CGTCCATGGTGTTGTGGTTTTTTTTTTTTTTTTTCTTTTTGGTCCCCTCCCTCCCTTTCCTTTTCTTTTTACCAAAGTATATTCATCAAACTGCTGAGTTGGAAAGATTTGTAATGAGTTTTTGAGCTGTACGACTGTGGTTTTTTTTTCCTCTCCCCCGCCCTCTCCCTCTTTCTAAATCTTCATCTGACAGTAAATAAAGCAAATCCCAAACAGATTAACTGTCGCTTGGTTCTGCTCCGTCTCCTCAGTCTGTTCCCAGGTCTGGCTCGGGGCCGGGCGGCGGGAGATGCCCGCGGCGCCCGCGGAGGCCCATGTGGCGCGCTAGGTGGGACCCCGGCGTCCTGAAGGCAGAGGCCCTGGCCCTCCTGCCCTGTGGCCTGGGCATGGCCTTCTCACAGTCCCACGTGATGGCCGCCCGGAGGCATCAGCACAGCCGGCTCATCATCGAGGTGGACGAGTACAGCTCCAACCCCACCCAGGCCTTCACCTTCTACAACATCAACCAGGGCCGCTTCCAGCCACCGCACGTGCAGATGTAAGTGGGCGCCCCCGATGGAATCCACACCCCCCGCCACCCCGGGAAGGCGGGGAGGGGGCGAGAGCGGGAGGGCCGCCCGGGGGCGGGCTCCTGGACTCGCGGTACCCCACCATCTCCTGCGCGTTGACGGCGATGGATCGCGAGGCTCGGGACAGGAGGGACGGGAGAGAAGTTGCAGTGTGCTGGCCTTGTGGGCCGATTCTGGCCCGGAGTCTTGTTTCCTTTGGCCGGGAGGATGTTTTACAAACATTGAAAAACGAGGTGATGGCACGTAAAAATCCAGACTTCTGGCTTTGCTCTACGAAACCCAAAGTCGTGGCAACCCCAGGCCCGTATGTCCTCGTGGCAGCTTTTGGGGCGGAGGAGGGGGTGCTGAATTCCAGCTGCTGCCCCCTTGGTGTTTGGGTTACTGACTCCCTGGTCTCATTCCTGTTCCTCGTTGCACAGATGGGGAGACTGAGGCGCAGAGAGGGGGCGAGACGAGACTTGGTGCAGGACCAGGGTAGGGTCAGACCCTGGTCGTGGCCTGACTGTTCTCCTTTCCTTCTGCCCAGACCCCCTTGGTTCCCCCCAGAGGACCGGGGAATTCTGCCACCTGCCCTTTGAGGTTGATGGAAAAAATATCAGAGGCGCCCCAGCAGTAGGGCACAGTGAGAGCGCAGACTCAGGACCCACACACGAGTAGCAACCTTCTGCTCCCTGGGTCTTCTCTGGTGGTCTGGAGGGGAGCCTGTGACAAGGGGTAGAGGTGGATAAATTCCAGGCCCAGCCCTGGGCAGTTCCTTGGGTCACCCGATCTCCTCCTCCTTTGTCTCTGCTGGCCCACCCATCAATCCGGCCAGACAGGTGACCCCCCATGAGCCCAACATCGCTGGCAGATGCCAGAACTGACATCCGCCTCCAATCCGGGGCATTCGCCACACTTAGCATCCTTTCCCGGTGATGTCTGTGGACAGGAGTGCTTACGTGCCTTCCTCTGAGAGTTTAGGTGTTTGCCTGCTCCATTGTTGAAACTCCTGTCGGCCCCTTCGGGGTGCCCCTGTTTGGGTCTGTCTGGGTCTCTGACAAGCCCCTGACAAGTGGGGAGCCCCGCGAGTCCCCAGTGACAGCACAGGGATGAGAGCTGTGATGGGACGTCCCTGGGCTGTAGGGCCCGGGGCAGGTCCCCAGACCAGTGGGCTGGGTCAGGTTTCCCCTCCAAGGATTTAGAAACCTTCTGCTCCCTGGGTCTTCTCTGGTGGTCTGGAGGGGAGCCTGTGACAAGGGGTAGAGGTGGATAAATTCCAGGCCCAGCCCTGGGCATCTCCTTGGGTCACCCGATCTCCTCCTCCTTTGTCTCTGCTGGCCCACCCATCAATCCGGCCAGACAGGTGACCCCCCGCGAGCCCAACATCGCTGGCAGATGCCAGAACTGACATCCGCCTCCAATCCGGGGCATTCGCCACACTTAGCATCCTTTCCCAGTGATGTCTGTGGACAGGAGTGCTTATGTGCCTTCCTCTGAGAGTTTAGGTGTTTGCCTGCTCCATTGTTGAAACTCCTGTCGGCCCCTTCGGGGTGCCCCTGTTTGGGTCTGCCTGGGTCTCTGACAAGCCCCTGACAAGTGGGGAGCCCCGCGAGTCCCCAGTGACAGCACAGGGATGAGAGCTGTGATGGGACGTCCCTGGGCTGTAGGGCCCGGGGCAGGTCCCCAGACCAGTGGGCTGGGTCAGGTTTCCCCACCAAGGATGCAGGGCCCGGCTTCCTCTTGGGCCATGGGCACTAGCTGTGGGGAGCAGTGGTCCCATGAGGTGCTAGCCGCTGCCCGTTTAGGGAGACAGGAAGATCCGGGATGTGACCCAAGCCGAGAAGGAGCCGGGGGGCGTTCCACTCCCAGGCCCAGAGGTGCTGTGACTGGGTCGCTGCCTCGTGTTCCTGGACGGGTCTTCTGTTGTAAAGGGTGGGTGCAGAGATTATTCATGGGAGCAAGGGCTCTGGAGGGCAGGGGGCACCTGACCTGGGGGTGGGCTCCAGCGCTAGGAGCTCCCTCTTTGCTGCAGTGCTTGCTCTGGAAAATGCTTGTTTCTGTGGGGGCTGCAGGACTGGCCTTGTCAATAGGATGAGATGGTTGGATGGCATCATCGGCTCAGTGGACATGATGAGTTTGAGCAAACTCCTGGAGATAAAGGACAGGGAAGCCTAGCATGCTGCAGTCCGTGGGGTCGCAAAGAGTTGAACATGACTGAACAATTGAAGGACAACAACAATATTTCTCTTTGGGAAACTCCCTGCAATGTTCAGTTTGGAACCAGACTGGAAGATCTGGGCAGGACGGGAGGCCTTGGGTCTCAGGCATGCTTTTCCTTGGTGTCTCTGGGACCTCGAGGCCTGGCGTGGCTGCTGCAAGGGGAGGCCTTCCCAGGGCTGGGTTTTCTCTTCTGTTGATGGAGTTGGTCCTCCTGGGCTGCAAGTCACAGTGCCTGAGGTCCCCAGATGCTCCTGGGAAAGGGTGAGAACACCAGGCCCTCAGGCAGAGCAGGTGGGGGGTGTGTGTGGGTGCGCGTGTGCCTGTGTGCACACCCATTCAGAGGGGTCCCTGGGCACAGAAGATAAAGCCAAGTAGAGGCGGGCAGAGCTGTCGTGTAGGGAACCCCCGGTAGCCCCAGTTGCAGAACAGAGCTAGGTCAATAGAAGTCAGGAGAGTCGGGGGAGCCAAGGGGCTGAGGGAGGACCCTCTGGAGAAGACGCCTTGTAGGTTGAGACCCAGAGAAGCAGGATCAGGGGCAGCAAGTTGGGAAGATGCTGCAGGGTCTGAGCCAAAGGTAGCGGGGATGTCCAGGAACTTCCAACCCAGGCGGGAAGCACGCGGGCCCCCGCGGGCCAGGCTGTCAGAGGAAGGGCAGTGAGCAGCCAGCTGAGGGGGTCACGCCCCCCCATCTAACAACTCTGGGTTATTGGTTCATTTCTTCATTCACTCACCCACCCGGGGTATCTGTGAGCAGTTGCCAAGCACGCTGGTTAGTTAGGAACATGGGCTCCGGGGGCTTCCTTGGTGGCTCAGATGGTAAAGAATCTGCCTGCAATACAGGAGACCCCGGTTCCATCCCTGGGTTGGAAAGATCCCCTGGAGAAGGAAATGGACACCCACTCCAGTTTTCTGGCCTGGAGCATCCTGTGGACAGAGGAGCCTGGCTGGCTTACAGTCCATGGGTCGCAAGAGTCAGACACGACTGAGTGACTAAACCACCGCCGTGGGCTCCAGGCCAGACCGCCTGGATTTGAATCCTGGCTTTGCCACTTGATTGTGATGTGTCTCTTGGTGCCTCTGTTTCCCCATCTACATAATGCTGCTCCTGAAATGCTGATGATTAAGTCTGCGGGTCCACATAGAGAGGGGCCGGGCGGTAGGGGTCCGTGCCTGCCGGGCTAGGTGCTCAGGACTCAGCAGTGACCACGGACAGAGCCTCGCCTGCGCTGAGCTGACGCTCCCACGGGCTATGCCGTCAGAGTCATTAAGTGCAGTAGCGTAGGGCTCTGGCAGCACTAAGTGCCGCGGAGAAAAAGCTTAATGGCTTTTTGTGGTCACTTAGCTGTTGTGGGCAGAGCAGGTTCACACTGGCCTGCCCTGCTCCATCCCTCCTGGCCTGCTCTATGCGGTCCCCGCCTGAGGCTCAAGCAAGGGGGCTTGGGGGTGGTTAGGGATTTGGGCCAGGCCCCCGAGGAGAGCATACAGCGAGCCCCGGCTCTGGACTGGACCAGTGCTCTCTGATTGCCTGCTTGGGTCACCCCGGCTTGGAAATGCAGCTTTGCACACAGCCGGGTGAAGCCGGGCCGCTGCAGGACTGGGTGGGTGGCCACTGCCTCCCACCCCCACTTCTTCCGACTCACACCCTGCGCGCAGAGGAAGCGTGTGGGTTTCCATGGCGAGTCTCCACCGAGGGAGATGCCACTTCCCGACACGTGATTTATCGCCACCCTGGGCTTTGTCTCGGGGTGAGGGAGCGAGGGGCCTTATTTAATAAATCCACAATTTATATTTAATAACAACAGTGGCAGCCCAAACGTGGCCTCCGATGGAGCCCTGTGATTTATGCGGTTGCCCCCAGAGACCCAGGTGGTAACCAGGCTGCCTTTGCCTGAGGAATGAATGTCTGGATCTGGGGCTCAGGGTTTTGAGGCCTGAGACCAAAGACCACCCCCTCACCCTGGGGGCCGAGCAGTGCTGCCCCTGGGGAGAGCCCCTCCAGGTTCCGGCCCGTGTGTCCTGGGCTGGGCAGGTGGGCCGCTGGCCTGGTGCTCAGTGAGAAGGCAAGAGCGGTGCGGGAGGGCCAGGTCACCACGGGGTCCGCCTTATAGGAGACTGGAGCCAGGCCTGGCAACTCCTCTTTGGCCTTTGTTTATTTATAATATTTATTTATTTGTTTGACTGTGCTGGGTCTTCACTAGGGCACGTGGGGTCTAGTTCCCTGACCGAACCCAGGCTCCCTACATGGGAGCACGGAATCTTAGCCACTGGACCACCAGGGAAGTCCCTCTTTAAAGTCTTTAAAAGGAGTCCTACTGGTGGAGACTCAGTTCCGTTCAGTTCAGTCGCTCAGTTGTGTCCGATGCTTTGCGACCCCATGGACTGCAGCACGCCAGGCCTCCCTGTCCATCACCAGCTCCCGGAGTTTACTCAAACTCATGGCCATTGAGTCGGTGATGCCGTCCAACCATCTCACCCTAATGTCATCATTTAAAGATCCTCCAAGCACTGTGCGGGGGTCAGGCTGTGCGGGGGTCCTTGAAGAATGTGGCAGGGTGGGGGACATCACTCTGTGCCAGGCCAGGAGCGTCCCCTGGTTCCCGGCCTCCTCACTGGGCAAGGCTGGAGTGCCGATGCCCTCACTAGGTGAGATGGAGGCTTCAGAAGGGACCCGGTGGCCCCTAGCCTGTCCAGGCGCTGTGAGGTCTCCAGGAGACAGTGAGGGTCAGCCTTGAGCCCAGGAGAGGTGGGGGTTGGGGGTGGGACGGCAGACGGGAGGCCCTCACTTGGGCTCTGTCTGTTCTCACGTGCCATCCTGAACCTCTCCCCAAGGGCTCCGGGTGCAGTTCTGTTTTCTGGGACCTTCCATTCTCCCTCCTGCCTCCAGGCTTTGCACATGCTGCCTCCCGGCTTTGCACATGCTGCCTCCCCTAGTCTGTGTCCTGCTAACATGGACTCATCCTTTGGATCTCATTTCCTCGGAGGGCCTTCCCCGATCCCTCGCCAAATCTCTCTGGCCACCCTCCCTCCCCCAGATCTAGGCACCCAGAGCCTCCCCTTCATGGCACTGCTTCAGCCTGTGCTGATACATGCCCTTTTGGGAGAGTTTTCTAAGTGTCTCTCCCCTCCACCAACACGGGCTATCTCCCGAGCCTAGCACAGCGGACAGGAGGAGGGAAAGAAAAGGGAGCGAGGATCAGTCAAGGCATACGCCCCAGGAAGAGTGAGGGGATCAAGGAGGGCTTCCTGTTGGTGGCAGCATAACCCCTGGGCTTGGAGGACCAGCAAAGGCAAAGCCAGGAGGTGGGGAGGAAGGGAGGCATGGGGACCCCGGGTGCAGGTTTGCCTTAGAGCCAGTGCTTGGTGGGAAGGAGTCTCAGGCAGTCGTGCAGCTCAGCGCCAACCAACCCTCGCCTTCCCCTGGGCCTCTGTTTCCCCACTGGTAGGATGAGAGAGGAGACTAGAGGTCTCTCTCATTCTGAAAGCCCGTGGCTGATGCCCAGTCCCATGACTGGACCTGGTTTTGGGACTTCACTGAAGACAAGTCCTCTGCCATCCAGCCCGCTGACCTTCAGGGTACCCTGTTTCCCCAGAAATAGAGATAACGGGGTGGGGGACGGCCTCTGCTTCCCATGCCTGTGTGAGTTTTTGGCATCAGTAGTTGCCCTTCAAGGGTGTCAATGGCTCAGGGGAGAGAGCCCGAGAAGGGGGCCAGGACATCGGAAACAGGCTGCAGGGGCATCCATCAGGTTTCCAGTCCTCACAACATCTCCAAGAGAGTGGGTGGTCCCCACCTTACAGAACTGGATGGGAGGCTGGAAGGGCCCCGGGCACAGTGAGGAGGTTGCTGAGCCCAGACGCCACCCTGGATCTGGGTGCTAGAGGCTGTGTTCCCTATTCTGCATCATCCCTGCTGCCAGGGTTCCTGTGGGAAGGTCCTGGGTGAGGCCGGGGGCACGTGATGACAGGTTTCAGGTCTCAGAGAGAGAGAGAGAGAGAAAGAGCCACAGCCTTGCTTGGGGCCATCTCAGCAGGTAGACGCTTTGGGGGAGTCGAGTTTGGCCCCTCCCAAACCTGGAACATTTATTTCCATACTTTCTGTCTGGTCTCCCAAAGAACATGGCTGGGAAATAACCATTTTCCTCTGTTTTATGGGGTTAAATGCCCCAATTCCTGTTCTGAAGACCCAGGTTCAAATTCTGCTCTTTAACTTAGGAGCACGGGTCCTGGGTGTGGGACTAACCTTTCCAGGCCTCAGTTACTTGCCCCACAGAGCCGCTGCAACTCAAGGGTTAGCCAGATTGCAAATTGTCTTAAGGGTAAAGGAGAGTTTCCTGGCTCACGTTCAGGTTTGGGACCAGCTTCAGGCACAGCTGGATTGCGGGTTCCACTGATGTTGTCACGCCCTCTCATCCTTCATATGCTCTGACTCTCAGTATCCTCATTCTTGTTCTTTCCCTCCCTTCAAAACACAGGTGGGGTTTCTAGGCGCTGCCCAAGGTGGTCTGGATGGGTGTCCTGTCCTGTACCTCGCAGGTGTTGGTATTTAGTAGGCACTCATAAAGCATTTGTCTATAGATTGACTGGATGAAGTGAAGTACGGCCTGGAAATAATCCAGTTCGGTGTAAGTTCTGGAACCAAAAACTGGCTTCAAATCCCAGCTCCACCAGCTCCTGTAGCTGAGATCCTGGGCAAGTCAACCTTTTCTTTTTTTGTCTTTTTTAAATTTGTTTTTGATGTGGACCATTTTTAAAGGCTTTATTGAATTTGTTAGACTACTGCTTCTGTTTTATGTTTTCCTTTCTTGGCCACAAGGCCTGTGGGATCTTAATTCCCTGACCAGTGATCAAACCCACATTCCCTGCACGGGGAGGTGTAGTCTTAACCACTGGACCGCCAGGGAAGTCCCTAGCCAGCCTTTTTTGATCCTCAGTTTCCTCATCTATAAAATGGGCTCAGGCATAGTGCCCTGCTCATATGGTCCCTGTGAGGGTGAAGCGAGCAGATGTGTGTACAGTGCTTTGCACACAATGAGCTCTCAGCCCATGGGAATCATCAATATCATTACTGTTGTTATTATTTCAAGGTTGAGCATTTGTTACAATCCAAATAGCTGGAGGACAGTGCAGGGAAATAAAAGTCTGGTTTTTTTTTGTTGTTGTTTTTGTTTTGTTTTTTCCTCTGGGGATTATTAGGTTTGCATCCTCACGGAGCTCAGAAGCCTCAGGGCGAAGAGAAACAGGAGCAGAGTTAACTAAAGAGCCCGGGCTCCAGTAGCAGGCCCAGCTGGACTGGCGCCCGTGGAATTCGTGTGCTCCTGGCTGGTAGACGGCAGGAGCGTCAGCTGGCTCAGGGCTCCTCCGCGGAGGGACACACAGGACGAGAGATCGCCGGGGACCGAGGTGGCTCTGGGGATGGCATATCACTTCCTGTGTTCCCCTGCTTTGTGTCTTTGACTTGGTCTTAGCCTCCTTGTGGCATCTTTACAACCTCGATGTATGTGAGGCCAATGAATGAATAGATGAATTTGATTGACTCACGCATGTTAATTACTGTGCCAGGTCAATAGCTCAGTAGTGACTGACTGCCTTGCTCCAATATCAGCTGTGTTAGGGGCGGACAGGTGGATTCCCAGGCCTCTTACCTGCAAGACTTCTTTGTCATATGGTGGGGGGGCGGGGTGGGGAGCGACCCAGAGGACAGAGGAGTGGCGGGAATTCCTGGGAGGGAGATTTCTGTTTCTAGACCAATTGAGGCGTCACCTCCTCCTGGCAAGTTCAGGGGGCCCCAGGCCAGACTGGGGCCTTCTCTGGCCCCCAAGACCCTCTGCTGCTCCATCGGACCTTGTGGCTTTATTGTTACTACCTGGCCGCGTCTTGTCTCCACCATCAGTCTGGGACCCGGCCTGGTTCATTCAGTTCTCCAGCTCTGAGCTCAAAACTGGTACCCAGTAGGCGTTCGGGATATGTTTTGTTGAATGAATGAGGGACGGAAGGAATGAAAGAATGGGAGAGGGAAGAGAAAGGACTCCGAGAACCCTCCTGTTGGACATCATCAGACTCAGAAATTCTTCCTTTTACCTGATCTGACCTAACTCTGACCCACTGGGGGTCCTTGCTTGACTTAACCATCCCCTGAAAAGGGCCCTGGGAGTCTCTCCCCCGGAGGCCCGGTGATGGGGAGAGGTTGGCACGGGGCTGCGGCTGCCGCTGGGTGGATGGAGCTTGCTCGTGCTCCCTGCACATTAGTATGCTGAACCCACGTCTCTCGTAAGGTGTTAATTAAATTTCTTCGAAGTATATTGTCTGAAGAAAAAAAAAAGGATAATTAGAAAGATGTCTTTAAAAGTATTTATGTAACTGATATGGTACCGCTTTTGGTTTGCCGCATAATTAGATTTAAACACAACTCGAGCGGCATACTCATTTGGAGAGAGCAGCTCGTTGAAATGTCATTGTGTTGTTTTTCAGCGTTTTGAGCCTGGCAGAACCAGTCAGCTGAGGAGGCAAGAGCTGGGGTTCTCGGGGAGAGCACTGAGCTGGGAGTAGGGAGCTGGGGTCGTTTCCCATGGTCCGCGTTTATTCCCAGGTCACCTGCTCAATATCCTCACGTGCAAGACAAGAGGGCTTCCAGGGCCTCCTGGGGACCGCGAACTTATAGTTACACAGCTACAGCTTTGTAATTTTCTTAGTGTCGTTGCCTAGTGAGGGACAGAGCTCCATTATACAGACAAGAAAACCAAGGCCAGGCATTTTCCTATTATATGTTAGTGATGATCAGCAGATCTGGGTCTTCTAAATCCAGAGCTGTTTTCCTTCAGGACCCTGGAAAGCCCTCGTTCTCAACATGTTCAGACCAGCTCATAGGTTTGGAAAATTGTTGTCTGCTTTCGTGCCTTTATCTTACAAGTTCCCATGAAATCCCGCCCTGCACACTTGGCTCTGCCTGGATGCTCTCTCTGCACGGCCCCCCCGCAGAGTCGGTTCTTCCAACTGGACGAGGACCTCAGTCCATGCATCCTCCATGGGGCCGACAGCAACCCTCCAGGGGGGCGAAACCTGGATTTTGGGTGGTGAAAAAAATCTTACTCTTATTATAAAGTGCAGATACACACATAGTAAATGAACAGATATACAGTGTATCTGTGGTGTTAAAATTTCACAAGAGAGGGGTGAGTAGAAAAAGCATCTTCTGTAGTTCCCTTAGGGGCTGATGGTGAAAAAAGTGTTGGTTGAGAGGCGCTGCTTTTCAAATAGCAGGTCAGTGGTGGTCATCACACAGGTGCACGGAGGTCCATGTGCCGGGCTGTATCTGTCAGCTCTTCCCCTCATCACCTCCTTTATCTAACCCTCACACAAACCCCCCGGGGGTTCCCGTGTTATGGAGGGGAAACTGAGGCTCGGGGGAAATCTTATGCCTGATTGGTGAGCGGAGGGTCAGGGTTCGGATGCGGGTGGATGCGATCTGGACCACAGGTGATCTGACCTGCATGTGATCTGAGTTGATGGGACGTGCGCTGTAGGCTCCCAGCACCATGGCCCCTGGATCCCACAGTCCCCTCTCTCCCCAGGGTGGACCCGGTGCCTCATGACGCCCCCAAGCCGCCCGGCTACACCCGCTTTGTCTGCGTGTCTGACACCCACTCGAGGACGGACCCCATCCAGATGCCCTACGGCGACGTGCTGATCCACGCCGGGGACTTCACCGAGCTGGGGCTCCCTAGTGAGGTGAAGAAATTCAACGAGTGGCTGGGTAGGTGCCAGAAGGGGTGGTGCCTGGGAGCGGCCAGACTTGGGGCTGCCCCCTGCCCCCTGCCTTTCCTCCCTGCTCTGCCTGGCCCCTCCCTGGCCTTTATCACCTGTCCACCTCCCCCGGGAAGCCCCCTGACCTCCGGGACCAGGCCTCACCCCTCTGACTATCTCATCACACCTGAGAGGTCTCCTGCTCCAGCACGTGTTTCTGCTGTGACTTTCTATTGTTTGTGGGATATTTTTTTGGCCTGGGAGACTCCCTTCCAAAGGCAAACCCAGGTTTGTTTTTGTCCGGTTGCGTGTCCAGCCCCTTGGACCAGTACCTTGGTCCAGGTAAGTACCCAATAAATAACTGATGAATGAATGAATGAATGAACGAATGAATGAATTGGTGAGTCAATGACTGAGTGGGTGAACAAATGAATGACTCTCTGGGAACAGTGATGCCCAGGCAGGTGCTCAGCTGGTCGGACCGGCTCAGACACCCGCCACCCTTGACTGCTGGCCCAGTGAGGGGACCCCAAGGCTTCCACGGCCCCAGCAGGAGCCCAGGGCCCAGTGTGGGCGCTGTCCTGGGCAGCTGTTGGTATAGGCAGCAGAGTGCATGCCGTCCCATGCTGTCCTATGCCGTGGGAGACGGTGGGCTGTGATTCACAAGCAGCACCCCCAGGGTTTTGTCTCTGATTTTGCTTTCTTCGAAAATAAGAAAGATGTAAATCTGGGGTGCCCCCCTGGGAAAAGCTGCTTGCTCGGAATCCAGAGAAACCTCATGGCCACTCTCTCCACCACGGCCCCAGTGGGGACTGCTGGACGGCCCCGGTGGGCAGGCCTGCTGTCTCAGAGGCGTGGGGCCGGGGCCAGCCCACCTCCCCTCACAGCCCCTCGTGGCCGCCAGACGGTCCCCCGTGCCTCCCCAGGGGCGTCCCGCTGTGCAGTTGGCTGGGAGCTCCACGAGCAGAGGGCCAGGAGCGAGGCGGGTAGCTGCAGCGAGAGAGGCCCGGCTTTGCCAGTCGAGACAAATATTTACAAGCAAGGCCTTCCCCTCCTCTTGGCAGGCTTGGAGCTTTCAATATTGATCTTTCAAATGGGAAATTCTAATCGAGGCCCCTGTTTGGGCTGAGCCCTGCGAAGGCTGGGATGCGGTGGGGGGGCGCTCCTGCAGGAGGCGAGTCTGCCCCAGCGCATCTCCCCTTTGCCCCGCGCTGCCTCCAGGTGCTAGGAAGGGGACCCTCACGGAGACAGCTTTCTCTTGAATATTTATTTATTGGATTTGGGCTACGTCAGGTCTTGGTTCCTGGGAGGCCTCACTCCTCTTCAGTTACAGCAGGTGGGATCGTAGTTGCGGTGTTCGGGCTCCATTGCCCCACGGCACGTGGGATCCTTGTTTCCCCGACCAGGAATCTAACCTGTGTCCCCTGCATGGCGAGGCAGATTCTGAACCGCTGGACCCCCAGGGCAGTCCCGAAGCTGCTTTCTTAGCCCCCTGCTCTAGGGTCTCAAAGAGACATGAGGCTGAACCGAGCGCCCGCGTCCCTGGCAGAGAACAGGAGTCTCTGGTGGCTGGGCATGTGGTCCGTGCCAGGCCCGTCTGGTAGGTTCTTTACTGCCACTGCCTGGTTGAACTTGGGGAGCAGCTGTTTGGCGTGGGCGCTGTTTGGATCCTTATCTGACCAAAGGCGATGTTGGCCCCCGCCCCCGCTCTGAGGTTCCGAAAAGTGGGGACTGTTTCTGATGTACCCCCAGCCTAGACGTGTTCCTCTCCACGCTGAGTGAGTAATGAAGCCAGCAGGTGCATGTACCGTGGGGGTCAGGGGGTGGTGGCCTCCCCCTGGACGGGAGGTTTCAGGGACAAGCTGACGCTGGGCTGGGTTTGGCCTGAGAATCGGGGACCTTGTGCGGGGAAAGGGGTAACTGAGGCCAGAGCCTTCGGGGGACACGTGAGAGGTGGTGTTATGTGTCTGGGTTGGAGGGAGGGGGCCTGGGGCAACGTGAGGGCAGTGAGCCTAAAAAGGGGTATGGGGCCTCCCAGAGACTCTGAAGCCGAGTGGAAGCCAGGGGCCCGGGAGGCCCGCCTGGTGAGATGGCCATTTTAGAAAAATCTCTTTACCTGCTTGTACCCCCAGCCTAGACGTGTTCCTCTCCACACTGAGTGAGTAATGAAGCCAGCAGGTGCATGTACCGTGGGGGTCAGGGGGTGGTGGCCGGGGGTGGTAGCCTCCCCCTGGACGGGAGGTTTCAGGGACAAGCTGACGCTGGGCTGGGTTTGGCCTGAGAATCTGGGAGTTTGTGCGGGGAAAGGGGTAAGTGAGGCCAGAGCCTTCGGGGGACACGTGAGAGGTGGTGTTATGTGTCTGGGTTGGAGGGAGGGGGCCTGGGGCAATGTGAGGGCAGTGAGCCTAAAAAGGGGTGTGGGGCCTCCCAGAGACTCTGAAGCCGAGTGGAAGCCAGGGGCCCGGGAGGCCCGCCTGGTGAGATGGCCATTTTAGAAAAATCTCTTTACCTGCCTCTTAGTAGAAGTCAGAACTAGGTGCCGTGGGAACATGGGGGGAGGCTTTCTTGGTAATTTGCACTTGGCATTGGGTTGATTTATTCCCCTGGATCATGCCGGGTGGCAAGGGTGAACTTGCAGAGGGGTCTTCCTGTTACAAAAGGGGCCTCTCCCCTTGGCAGCCTTGAAGTGTTTGCAGATGTCAGTGCTTGTCACTCAAGTGGGCTGGGCGGGGCTTGAGACTGAAGAGTGACTGAACGAGGCGGGGGGAGGGGGGATTTGCATGTGAGCATCAATAGGGAAGGTTTAGAGCCGTCCAACTGCAGCTGGCTTCTTGGGAACGTGCCGGCTGCCCAGAGGGACTCACCTCTGTGGGCTGGCGGTTCAGGTGCCCAGGGATGTGGTTGGTGATCATGGTGGAGAGACAGACTCAGGTGTGGTTTTATAAAGAGCTCGTGTTTGTCAAAACTGTTGACATGTGCTGGGTGCCCTTTAGGTATATGTTAAAATCATTTGATTCTCTTGACCAGGGGATGAGGCAGGAGCTGTTGTCATCCCCATTTAACAGAGGAGAAACCGAGGCCCAGAGGAGTGAAGTAATTTGCCCGAGGTCACACAGTCAGCAAGTGGAAGATCTGGGATTCAAACCTAGGCATGTGGACTCTGGAGGCGAGCTTTCATCCTCTCCTCTATATCACCTCTCTTGTTTTTATGGTGAAATTTCTGTTTTGTAGGAAGGATGTGGACTGTGTCTTTTGGGGCCAGACGTCCAGGGTCAGCTTCCTCCTAGGTGACTGCAGCAGTCACTCGACCTCTCTGAGCCTCCCTGACTTCATTGTAAATGGGGAAGAGGTCAGGCTTCCCTTACCCTGTCTGCCTCTTCGGAGGTGGGTTGTTTTACGGCTCTGTTGGGCTGGAGGAAATGCTCAAGAGTTATAATCTGTAAAAGGCTGTGCAGATGGTATTACTGCCCCCAGGAGGTGGCATTGGCCAGATCAGGGCTCCCCTTGGGGTAGAGGTAGGGGTCATGGGTTGGTCCCGTGGGGGGCTGGGGGATTTGACCTGAGCCTGTATGTTGAATTGCAAGGAGAAGCGGTAGATGGTTTGAGGGTCAAAGTATGTTGACCTACAGTCTCATCTATGTAGGCATTTCTTACACACACACACACACACACACACACACATACACGCATGAAAGACTGCAGGGGCTTACACACACACACACACACACACACACACACACACACAGGAAGGACTGCAGGGGTTATTCATCCCTCTGTTCAGTGCATTTCTCTGAGAACATGGGGTGAGTGTGCAGTGCGTGATGGTAGGAGTGAGGACAGGCCGCTGTGTCTGATGATGGGGATACCACAGACGGGTGGACCCACTGGAAGCAGTAAGAGAACCATTCTTGTGATGAGGTCTGCAGAGCCCAGGGGTGATGGTGATGGTGATGGAGAGCTTCTTGAAGCAGCCACGGGAGGCCTCCCTGAAGAGCTGGCCTTGGGTGATGCATGAAGGTGACAGAGAGCCATGCAGGGGGAACATTCTAGGCAGGGGCACAGAGGCTGCAGAGACCCCAAGGGCAGGCAGCGGGGAGGGTTTCCCTGGGCTACGCCCCGTGGGCCAGCGGCAGGAGTTTGGGGCTGGTTCTAAGTGCACTGGGCTTTGTGGTTCTCTATTTCTTTTATCCCTCTGATTTTCTGTAGGGAGCGTGTATTGCTCTCGTAGCTTTAACTGAAGACAACAGTAAAATATCATTGCTTTTAAAGAAACATTGGCATCTCTGGTGTCTGGTGCGTGGAGTATCCCAGGATAGGGATGGGGACGGTGCTGGGCTCAGGTCAGTCCTGGCATCATCCAGCTATTCAGGAGGTCATCTGGAGTCCCTTCCCTGGCCACCAGGGCCCTGCCCGCCTCTCAGACCCACGGGCCCACCCCTTCCTCTTCCTGAGTGAGAAAGCTGATGATCTGAAATTCATAACCAGCTTCTTCCCTGTTCATTGATCTCATGAAGAACACCTACAATCATATTGTAGGGGCCACCTCCAGTCAGACAGGAGGAGATTGAAGAAATTAATGAAGACCCTCTTTGTAAGAGAAGATTAGGTGCCTAAACGGGGAGACGTGTGGCTACCCTCACGCGTCTCTAATCTGTGGTCGGGTGGGTTGCTCTCAGCCTGGCTGTGAGGGTGTCCACGTTTTGGCCACTTGCAGGCTTCTGTCTGGGTCTGTGTTCTTTAGGGGGCACTAGGTTGGGGGTGATAGGGCCCCCTGACAGGTCCCTTATCCCATGGGCCATTAATATCCCCAATACATTCATGAAATAGAACCGCCAGATGGATTTGTAAATGTCCCAGTAAGCAGCTAAAAAATTGCTAAGGACAGGCTTTCCAGCTGTAAAGAATGAAAAGAAGAGCACAATTGGCTGAAAATGGAAGAGAATGTGCTGGAAACTCCTTGCTCATCTGCAGTAACGGCGTGATGACGGATGGGCAGCCTGGAGCCCGCAG